GGATCTCTCGCGTGCCATCTCTGCATTCTCTGCTGCTGGGCCATCTCATCAGCCGAAGCGGAAATGAGAGGGATCGCGTGGGCGGGTGGCGTTGTCGCGCGGATGGTGGGACAGCAATGCGACTAGCGGCGGCTGCAATCTCGCTCTGGCGAAGAGATCAGAAGAATTAGCCTGCTTCGTGCTACGACGCGAATGGAGACGTCGAGTGACTTCGCCGCGAGTAAAATGAGAGCGAGCCGTCGTGTCGCGGTCGAGATGAGAGGCGTTGCGGCCGCGCACACGTGTGCTTTCGTCATCTTATCATCTCGCATGCGTCCTCCGCAACTTTTACTTCTTTTCGTTTTATCGTCATTTAATCGCGTGCGCTTTCGCACGATCACGCGCGATTCCGTATTAAAAGCGTAAAACGTATATCGGCCGCTATTACTGACCGCGGAACAATTAAAACCATTCGACTGACGCACGTCGGTCGTTATTTAACCGCTCGCTCGCGTTACATCGCCATAAAAATATCACGTCCGGCACGGAAGAGAGTCGCGAATTGCGTGCGGCGCAGTTTCGTATTGCCGCTCGACGATACGGTCTAATCGCGTGGCGGATGTTCGTCAAAAGTGCCGGGCGACTATACGCGCGTAACGACGCGAATATTTTGCGACCATCGCGGTATGTGAGAGACGTATGACATGGCTCCGAACTAACCTGCCGCAGACTTGACGTATTGTTTGTCACGCGTGCGGCAAGCCCGTTGACGTTAACGCGTTACTATTAATGTAGAGAGTAATTAGAACAGTTTGTCGAACCGCGGTGTAACTTCGCGGTCGTATTTTACGACGGAAGTGTCGCGCGGATGTCGTAAATGTCGCTAACGTGGCGCGACTAATAAACATAATGCACCAGTGCTATTCGATGTAACGTGTAAGTTGTTTATCGTGATAGAATATGTCGTACCGTTCGTATAAGATGCAATAGAATTGATTAATTAACGTAGCTCGTAGTTTACAATTGATTATGAACTTGTAAATCGTTATGAGACGTTATCTCGTCGCCGATTGGGACTTGCCAGCGTGAACTCGATCATATTTTACAAAGTCGCACGGGGAATTAGCTGTATAGAAAAAAAAATGTGCAATGTTCTGCGATGCTCATTGATAAACGAAAAAATATTGCGCCGAGAGGCAGGAACATGTTGCTTATTAGCCGTTTTCGTGACGATCTTTGCTGCGATATTATGGTCAAGCAAATTGATTGCGTTAACGGTAAAAACCTGGTCTTGGTACATCTGGCAACTCTTATTAAACGTCATTTAGTATTACCAGCCGTGTAATTAACAACAGTGTAGGATGAATGACAGAGTAATTTGAAGAACGATTAATTTATATGACCGGAGCTCCATTCGACTTACAATTAGTCTTTTGTGTTTGATACAAATTACCTTTATTATCCGGATAGCATCTGGCTTCGAATCGTCCCTATTAGCGAAATGTAATCAGAGTTCGAATAAGATCAACGTCTGACGTGCAATTATTTATGTATTTCTTCTCAAATGTATATATGACGAGAGTCATGTGTAAATATCTATTGTTTATACAAGACAAATGATTGTCGACGTATTTATTTGTATCGAATTGCGCGTGCGGTAATGCAGGAGGGGAGCAATCTGTGTGGCTCCACGCTGTATTGCCATTATAATACCTCATTACGCGCGTTCTCGCGTATTAAGACGCCGTCGCCGAGCTCGCGCAAAGTCGTGAACGGCTGCAAGAAGGTCGCGATCTAGATCTTGACTTTTGCTAAACCAGTTTGCGAGGCCACGGAGCCGCTTGCTGCAAACACGCTCGAGGCTACTGACCCTTCGTGCTCGCAAACGCGCCACGAGACCTCGCGCTACGGCGCGCTGCACCTACAAGAGATGGTGGAGTCTCGACTTTCCGACCGACAGGAACCATCTTTTTTCCCCTGGATTCTTTCTTTTATTAAAAGGGAAAAGGAAAAAAAACTGGAGAAAAGAGCACGCGGTGGAAAGCCGCATACGATATTGCAAAAGGCTTTAACATGCAAATATCAAATATTAAATCTTGTTATATATCAGTGTGTCACATTATTAACTTAAATTCGACAAAATAATTGACGACAGAAGTTAAAATAGAAATGTGCATATTTTTATATATTTTTAGCATATTCATTACACGGATAAATCTGTCAAATCAGATAATAAGATATTTTTTTAACTTCTTTCGTGCATATTATTTGTTCCTTGTTATTTCTGCGCGATTAATGCAACTGAGATATCGTAGAAAGTCTGTTTACCATGCGCGCACAAATTTGGCTTCATCATCAAGCGTTCTAAATGGGGAGCTTCACGTGGGGACATGTCGCTAGATTAAGTAATGCGTGTCTCGTTGCTGCACGGCCGGTATTGACTGAATTGACAGTCTTCCGCTTGCATGCGTGCGGTCCGTCGGTGCGCATCACTCGAGAGAGAGCAAGAGAGAAAGAGGAAGAGAGAGAGAGAGGCTCGGAAAATGAGTGTGTTACAATGGCGTCGATAACGGAGATGTCATGTGTCCGAACAAACTGACGTTAGTTGACCCTAGAAAAATTTCAAGTACGCAACGCACGATCCGTTACTTTGGACGGACGTCCTCATTGATTGAAATAGATGAATTGTCATATACACGCACGCTGGCAACCAACTGGTTCATTGATAATATGTCTACATTAAATACGCCGATTTTGTACACGCTTCGCGATCGTTGTTACATGTCACATTGTGCGTATTAGAGTTAATTTATCTATGTACAACATTGATAATATGGCTCGATATTATCGATACAATTATTGGAAATTTCTTCGGCTGAAATATACGCCGTAATTTTCATCTAGAATTCTCAACGGAATAATATACTTGTTTTTTTTTAATTTTTGTTTTAATATTTGAAAACGGCCAAAGATTCCGGCTTACGAATATTTCTGTTACGGGGGACTGAATAATCTCGATATCACTATAGACCCGGACGAGCACAGCTTCAATGTAGCTGTTACGACCCAAGTGTGCTTCGACGTTGTGGCAATCGACGGAACTTCGCCTCCGTCCTGCTCCCGCGTGCTCACCGAACCTCAGACTCTCAGGCCGATGACTATTAAATCCTTTTTTAGAACGCCAGGGTCCTGGCAAGTCGTGGGATTGGATGCTCCCACGGAGAGAGAACGGTATGCGATTAGAAGGCATTTTGACATCGTGTGTTTCTCATTCTTGTATCTTGACAAGAGAGTTGCTATTACCCCTCGCTTCAGGATGAGGGTCATGCGGTTAGGTCGACCTTTCTTGCCTCTTTCTCTTCTCCTCCTCCTCCTCTTTCTTCTTCTTCTTCTTCTTCTTCTTCTTCTCCATCTTCTCTTTCCTCTCTTCTTCATTCCCACTCTATTATCTACCAAAAGCGGCATAGGTTAGACATAAAAGTTTCGTTCTCAATCTCACGAACCGTTCTCGCAGTCGTGTGGATGTTGAAGAACGGATGAGGAGGCGAGGAGGTGAAGAGAATATGGGCAAACGGACGGTAGAAGGGTATGCGAGAATCGAGCACGGAACTCTGTGCGCAAACACAACGATTGTATTACATCGAACGTTCCATTTCAACGAGCCATCAGGCATGCATACGAAACCCTTTTAACTTTATACAGCGTACGTTCTTTTTCGATCGCGACGATCGTTTCCACAAAGTTTTATCAAAGTCAGTGGTTTTTCGAAAATAATTGCTGATCATCGACAAAGTTGATAATTTGAGAATAATGAAATGACACTTGACGGTTCGAGAATACAAAATTCTTTAATAATATATTGATTTTGGTAATAATATATTGATTCTGTAATAATTTGTGCGTGCAAGCAATGTTTGGAATAATCCATATACAGTCATTAATTTACGAATAAACTGCGAATTTTATGCGATGGCAATTTCATCACATCATTGCAGTCCCATCATTGGTTAATCGACATTTCCGGCGGTCGATTTACATACGAGGAGCCCAGAATTCATTACAGTAGCATATTCAAATAGGAACACATAGTTAACATACTCTACCTCATAAAATATTAAGTTTGCGTGATTAATATTCGTAGTTTGCTACTGTCATAGTTATATATCATTGCATTTTGAGCGCAGAATCATTTATTATGGTACATATATTTAAGCAACTGCCATTTATCTTCCAATTTTCATGAACTTTATTTTACATACATTAGTTTCAATTTTTTTAAAGGAATCCGTTACTTTTTAAAAATATAATAAAAATAATATTATATTGCTTAATATTTTATACAATTTGTTATAATTATTTACATTAGTATTGAAGTAATCGAGAACGCCGATTACACAAAACATGAATTTATTCATTTACATTATACATGGAAAAGAATACGAATGTTTAATTAAAATGTATCGCAAGCTGCTCACTCATGTCGGGCGACATTTGGCGCCAGATTGTGTGCCAAGAATTTGTTAATTCGACTGGGTTGGCAAGAATTCGTTAATTGGAATGTCCCAGCTTGCTTCCTAATAAAATTAGATTGGAGGATCCTCGGTTCCTTTCGGTGGAGCAAAGATGCGCTCCTTATTACGGTGCAGCATCTGGCATCGTCATTTATTGTACTTTCGTTCGATATTGCAGCTGATAGCTTTAGGAATTTAAATGCTAAAGTGTCAGATTTTTCATGCGGAATGGTTAAACACACATCTATTTTTATCTATTTTTATATCAATGCTTTAACTATATTACATGCGAAATAAATTAATCTATCGCAATTTTTAATTTGCTACCGAAGATTAAAACTTGAAAAATTAAAATAAAACCAAATGGTAAATAAATATATTATTTGAATTTGGATTATAAATTGAAACGAAATTAATTTATGACTTAATTTCGAAGCAATTGTATTCGTAATAAATAGCTATAGTGCTATAGTATTATAAAATAACGTTTTCGATTATTCTTGTTTACAGATTGGAGGAAATTGACGTTCTATGGAAATGCAACCAATGTACGTAATTGCGAGGTAAGCATTGATTTTCGGACATACACATAAATCGTATAGTTAGGGATCAAACGTCCAGGTCGTTTATAAGTAGCATATCTATCTATATAGAGGAACCCACCAGTGATCGATACTAATTGATATTTTCGCGAAATGTCGCCTTGCAAACAGCTTTAATGAGTAATCGGTCGGATGGACGGTCGGTGTTATTAGAACGGAATGCGACGTATCGATCCCTGAATGTACGCTCGAATCCGTGCATTTCCGTTCGGTCTGCGAATTCTCGTGGCATGCCTTCGACATGTGGAGCGTGAAGATGCCAGCGGCATCACGCAAGCACGCGGTCCGCAGCGATCGAAATTAGCTGACCATCGTGTTTAGGGCGACTAAACGTCTTATGAGATATTTGGTTGTATACACTTTTCGTTTTATGTATCATTTATAATTTCATAATTTCGATATGATATATTTGCAATAAGAGAAAAAGGCGATAAATGCTTGATCCATTGCACAAATGCGTGATCCATTTGTAATAGTATCGCAATAAATGCTTTGCAATTTCATGAAATCACGATAAACGAAATTTCAATTCGATTTTTAAATTCTAAGTAAGAGTTATTATATATAGATTTTCGCTACTTCATCCGATTAATATAATATAATATATAATATAATATTACCAGGATAATTTTTATATTCGAAAATAAAAATAGATATGTGTAAGCTAATAGTTGTACGATAATAAACCAATATCGGTGCAGATATTCGAAACATGGAAATATCGGTAAATAGCAAATATTGGCAAACTAACAGAATCACCATAATTGCAACTAATTGAATATATGCCAAACTCTTTGATAAATATTTAACTTTTTTTTTATCGTGCAAGATCTTAGCATAGTTTTAATAATTTTAAAATTAATTTCTCAATCAATCCGTATTACGGTTTATAATGAGACTATTTGTAAGAAAAACTCGGGTATTTTTTATATATGTAAATCTTTCGTTTCCTTAAACCTTTTAACTAGGATAGTGAAGGAATTTTTTTTGTGAAGAATGTATTTATACAATTATGCATTAACACAAATCGATACGAAAAACAGAGTTATTTAATTAATGAAAATCCCAATAGCATAGACATATAATAATTACATCTTAATAATAATTACATTATAAGATATGTTTTACCGAATCCATTTTATATTGATGTAATTATATATATATACATCTTTGAATTTCATTAAACGAATATTACGAGCGCTTTAAATATGCATTATATTGAACTTTAAGTAAGATAATTACATGACCGAAATAGATTTTTGAACGTTGTACCTTCCACATTATATTGAGACTGACGTTTTCCAATCGATAAATTTTAATTGACTTAAAATAATTATAACTATTGTAACTGCCGTTGCAATATTCATTTTGCGTTTTTGGAATATTGTCTGGTTTACCGCGATTTTGTTATCGTGTAACAGAATTTCCTATACATTTATCTATTTATTTATTGACTTCGCGAAAAATGTCCACTTGAACTCACCAGAGCAAATTCATATATTGAACAAATGGCCCTTTTTTCCGATAAACAGTCCATACAAATCAATCTCTCGCAATGTCAAAATATTCTGTGTATGCATGACAAAACATACGTATGTGTATTTATTTTTAACCACGCGATTGTCAATATTTGATTAATTCTTATTGCAACCTTATATTACGTGGCATATTTATTTTTTCACAATTGTAACCCACTTTTAAAAAAAACTATGCATTATTATTGATTTAAATTTTGAATTTTATACACGCGTTTGCAGAAATTAAATTTAAAAAATGACAGCCGTGATGCTGAAACTGACAAGTTTCTCTGCATATAGAAATAAGGTGTTATATTTAACTCATTTCAGTAATTTTCAGAAGAAGTTGTTTCGGTTAAATGTTACTCTCTCGCCTATTCGTTTATTCGTGCTTGTATTTTATGATGCTATGCTCGTATCGAGTTTGCGATTTAACTTCAAGGTATTCTATACTACTGGCAACTTTGTGATAGGCCACTAGTAATGAAGCGTCTGGCGTATATAATCAATATAAATTGAAACCACATCAGAGCAACAATACAAAAAGTTTTTTATTTGTAGTTTTAAAAAAATTACGTAACGAAAAAATAACGATGCAGAGAAAATAAAAAGAAAATGAAAGATGAAAGCATATTTATTATAGTGATGAGCATGCGTTGAGAGAGTGATATTTTTTCTGAATTTTATGAGAGCGACTCCAATTTTATTTGCAAATTTTTTCAACGGCAAATAACCATCATTAAAAGTGCCCTTGCTCAAAATGCAAATTGTGACGAAAGCACTGACATTTATTTATAATGCGTATTCTTTTAATAGATGTAGCAATAAAAGGCGCCATTTGGACTCGCCATTTGAAATGTCGTGCGACGGAATGGGCGATATAAATTTCTCCACTTGAAAATTCTCGAAAATAATAACGCAACGCGTACGCGAGCGATGAAGCTGGCGGAAGCGTAAACGACACGAAACGTTTTCTCCGAAAGAAGAGCGGGGTTGCGATAGAAGTCGACGAATTCGGCAATTATCGCGGTTCGCTGCGCGTGGAAATCAGAAACAGATGCAAAGTAGGCAATTAACGGCGCGGCGCGGCGGGGAGATTGCACCAGGAAAATCGCGCCCGCGCGTGATTGGCTCTCGAACGGTAAACGATCTCTGCCTCGGTCCTTCTTGCCGCGCGCGCGTTGGGCATTCGGGTAAATTGCATTTCGATCGACCCAGTTTTTATTTCAATTTGTCGTGAATTTATGTGCGAATTATCGGAGAAAGAACAGGGGTGTGGAATCGAGGCACAGAGAGAGAAAGAGATGGTGGCTGGTAAGGAAGGAGAGTGAGAGAGAAAGAGAGACGGAGTGAGAATCAGAAGAGAGGTGCGGGATGGTGGCGCGATTTACTCGCGTCGTTTCTCGGCACCCTCTCGCTAACTACGATTCAATTTGCATTTCATCCAATAAATCGCGCCTCTCGTCGCGCCTTTCCCAACACACACGGCTACGTGTTTTCCCGGGAATTCTTTATCTCTTTACCTAACGACGGCGAATGTCGCGCAAACTCGCCTAATATGACTTTGGTCTCTCTGATAATAAACATTCTTCTCACATTCTCTCTCTCTCTCTCTCTCTCTCTCTCTCTCTCTCTCTCTCTCTCCCTTTCCTCTTTCTTCTCCGATGTCTAGAAATGATGAAATTATTTTTTGTTTATGGATAACTATAAGGGTGCTCGACAACATGTTCGTTTACGATAAGAAACACGAGATTTCTTGACGCACACATACATACCACACACGCACACGTTCATACAAGAGCATGTATATTTTATTTATCAGATTCGATACATTGTTAGATACCACGTGTATCAACGAAGCCTCCGCTCGCAATAGGGAGCATAACATGTTTACACGCAAGAAGGGGTGCGTGCTTTAATTATTATCAACTGGAACGTTGATAAACGCTAGAAAATTGTGTTGGAGCAATTACTTTTGCGAGAAACTTAAGAATAAAATTGAAATAATTCTCGGACGAGGATGCAAAGAGAAGAAAATTTTGTAAAATTCTTTTTCTAGCTGGGCATGCATAGATTCTAAGACATATATTATGAACATAAGGGATAATGTAATAAGCTCGACTATACTGATTTGTCAAATGTAAGCAGTTATATGATTGTACATAGGTCTATCTATATATATAAATGTGTAAAGGTCTGAGATTTGAATACAGTTATATCAATGATCAAATAACGTTATTAAGGACATATCGACATGAATGCTATTATAAATATTTTGATCTCTGTCCGTATCGTATTTTTTAGAGTGCGGGAACCTTTTAAACGGCGTACAAATAGTGAACGCTCATTGTTCGCGTGACATGAGCACGCTAATACTTCACCGACTTTCTAAGCAACCGACCCGTTCTCCCCTGCTCGCCCGACTATATTGCAATCGTAACCCTTTTCCTCCGTGCGTGCGACACGGAAGAAGATCCACGCCGATAAAAACCGTCCGTTGTGTCGACCGCCGCAACAAATGCATCTACCGGTCGATTTGGCCCTCGCAAATTTTGTGGCCTATACGTTTATAGCGTAACGACGTTACGTCACAGGTCCGTTTAGAGATAAATGAAATTACCTACGCATCAAAAGGTTACATGCTGAAAAGAGTTTTATTTAAAAATAATTTTTTCCCGCGAAACAAAAGATATAAAGCAACCGTGATATAATTTGACGAGAGGTAGGTAGATTAGACTTTCTCTTGTGTGCGATGTAACACATTTGATTCTGAAATCAATGCGTGAAAGTCGTCTTAAGTAATAGTTACATCAAAACAACTGATTCCAGGGGCGTTACCCGGTCCGCGATGCAGAAATAACACGCGAGACAAAATCTGCATTAATATTTCTCGCAAATATTTTTACCGGACAGATCTCGCGTGGATTAAAATTACCGAGCAGCCCAGAAATTTGTCATAAATCCGCCGCTGAAAGCCGTCGCGTATAAAACGGCCAAGGAAATAGCGGGGGCAAAAAGTATCGCGCCAAACGGTCACGTCCCGTGCCCGTTCTCTCGCAAAACCCGAGAGCGTTTCGCGAGAGCGAGAAGGGCGGAGATAGCCGCGGTCATCGTACACGCACCGGGAATATTTCGTCGACATGCAAGCCACAATCTAGATTACCGGGCGGGTAGTACGCCTGGGAAAATGCTGGACGCTGAAATAGGCAATTTTTCTCTTCCATCACGGCGTCGCGGCCACGCGTCGAACATTTGCAAACACGTCGATTCGCTATTCTGCACGAGTCTCTCTCTCTCTCTCTCTCTCTCTCTCTCTCTCTCTCTCTCTCTCTCTCTCTCCCTTTCGGTTTGTCTCTGCTCTCTCTCAACGTGGCGATATGAATTTTCGCATGCGTCGAATCGAAAATTGTTTCTGCCTCCAGCGCATCTCCTACGCGAACTGGG